TCGTTGATCGTTTTTATGGTCGTTCTATCCGTTGAAGGACGTGCAGTTCTCTGGACAGATTGTTGATTCTTTATTACTCCCGCTGCTTAAACCAGTCGATGGCGATCAGTTATATTTTGCTATTGGGGACGGGAAGGTATGTAGATTCTCGATCCTTGAATTTGCCCTGATTACGGGCTTGAGATGTACCGGGGAAGAAGAAGCTAGAACCCGTATTATACGAAATAAAAGGTTATTGGATTTATATTTTGGAGGTAAAGGGCCAGTTACACCACCACAGTTAGAGGACGCATTTAGGAAATGCAATCACATGTTAGACAAGTTGAAGTTAGGGTTGGTGTATATACTGGAGAGTATATTGAGGTGTCGATATCGTAGGACGTCGATAGATTTTTTTCATTGGATGTTGTTGATGATATCGATGCTTTCAACAGCTTTCCATGGAGTCAGAGATGTTACACCGATACTCTCCATGTATTTAGAAGGGTACACACTATGCCGAAATCGGAGAGGGGCGATCGCAAATATGATGTATATGGCTTTTGCATGGCTTTGCAGGTAAATATTCAGTGTAACGTAATGCGTGTTGAACTTTTTTATTAAATGTATATGTAAAGTTTTATTTTGTAATTATTGTAGTTGTGGGCATATGAGGCTATCCCTGCTTTGGGTAGCAAATGGACGATCAGAAGGGAGACCAGCTGCCCACGAATGCTTCATTGGCGAGCACATGAAAAGCCATCGGCTAAAGATTTGATAGCTATCCTCAACGATCCTCATGTGAGTATTATATATTTGCAATTTATATTGTACATACATTTACTCGGGTCGATACACGTTCGTTAACACGTTGAAATATGGTATGTCAGCTCGAAGTTCATGCTGAGTTGGTTGTCTCGGTGGAAGAGGAGGATGCAATATATGTACGTGAATTACTTGTTCCACCTACTGAAGACGATCCAGTATTTGAGTCCGTTCCTCTAAACAAATTAACAAATTAATGATTTCTAAATCCAAATTTTTGGCCCAATAATTTGTTTCATTTCTAATTTTTTAATTTTTGGCCCAATTACCCATTTTATTGTTTCATTTCTTAGCCAAACAAATCAAATCCACTAAATAACCCTAAACACCTACAATAAAGTGCATAACGTTGTCTCGACTCTCGCACTCACTCTCGCAGCCTATCTAATATTCCAAAACCTATACAATCGTCGGCCGACACTCTGACCTCCGATCGAAGCCGTGACTTTCCCCGACTGAAGCTTTGATCGTAGCGATCATTTGAACAAGATAGTTTACTAATCTCTGACATTCCAAAACTATTGAATGTATCATTAGTCGTATTTATATAACGTTGTTATAAATGTTAAAAAATTTAATTATAGTACAGAACCGAACCGATCCGAACCGAACCGAATGGAACCGAACCCGAACGGTTCCATAATTATATTTGGACCCGACGGTTCCATTTACTAGATACCCGAAAAGTTTGGTTCGGTTCGGTTCTACAGAGAACCGAACCGAACCGACCCGCGCCCACCCCTAGTTGCAGTTGTGGGCATATGAGGCTATCCCTGCTTTGGGTAGCAAATGGGCGATCAGAAGGGAGACCAGCTGCCCACGAATGCTTCATTGACGAGCACATGAAAAGCCATCGGCTAAAGATTTGACAGTTATCCTCGACGATCCTCAGGTGAGTATTATATATTTGCAGTTTATATTGTACATACATTTACTCGGGTCGATACATGTTCGTTAACACGTTGAAATATGGTATATCAGCTCGAAGTTCATGCTGAGTTGGTTGTCTCGGTGGAAGAGGAGGATGCAATATATGTACGTGAATTACTTGTTCCCCCTACTGAAGACGATCCAGTATTTGAGTCCATTCCGGATAGAAATATAGTACATTTATTTAAGTTCATTATTTATTTTGACTTATAAATTCATGTGTGGATTATTAATATTAATTGTCTTCTCTGTGTAGGAGCGCCATCCGGAACTTCCACTTAGGAGATCTCCTTCGCCTCCACCGATGAGATCTCCGTCACCTCCACCGATGAGATCACCTCTACCGCCATTATCTCATTCTCCGAGGATATCTCCGTCTCCCGTACCCACCCACCTCCCACATGGATCGCCTATACCCAGTCAGACCCGTCATTCAGATGACTTCTTTGCACGCATGACTGGCATTATTAGAGAGGAGCTGGGAACGATGCGACGTAATTTTATGACAAAGGTAGTCGCATTACGAGAGGAGATAGGGGTATTGCGACGGGATTTTACGACAGAGATCGTCGCAGTACGAGAGGAGATAGGGGTGCTGCGACGAGATTTTACGACAGATGTAGTAGCTTTGCGAGATGAGATTGGAATGCTGCGACGAGATATAGGAGACCTTCATACTGAGGTTGCAGCACTTCGAGGCGATGTAGCAGGCGTCCGAGGGAATGTCGGGGAGACTGGTGTCCCTCGAGATTGGTGGGCAACGGCCGGGGGAATCGATGAGTTTTTTGGTTCGGTGCCGGAGGCCGAGAGGGAGGGGGTGGAGGTCGGGCAGGAGGAGCCGGAGGAGGCCGGGATGCCCGGGGTAGAGGTCGGGCCGGAGGTGCCGGAGGAGGCAGAGATAGAGGGGGTGGAGGGAGGGACAGGGGTGGTCGAGGAGGTAGCGGAGGGGACATCAGAGGTGGTAGTAGAGGGGGATGATCAGGTTGCGGAGGATGAGAGGATGCCGGAGATGACGGATGACGAGGTAGTATTCGTGTCCGAGGGGGCGACGGAGGTCCCGAAGGGTAAGAAGCGTGCTGCTGACGCGCCAAAGCTGATGGTCGGTAAGAGATCAAGATTGCCGCCACAGTATGTCGTTTCTCCCTACACGGTCGAGGCGAAGAGAAGGGGATTTGTGGATGGGGCGTACCCCAATCTTTTTCGCGACGTCGACCCAGTCAGACAGAAGGCGTTCGATGATTGGTTCAAATCCCTTAAGTCCGAGTAAGTATTTTATGATGTTGCTACTATTTTTTTGTATCTTTGGTAACTGTTTTTCATTTTTCAGAGATAGTTATACCATCGGCTGTATGACCGTGCCAAATGCTAAAAAGTGGTTTGAAGATGTATTGACGACCTCAGCTTGGCTCGCTGATGATGTAAGTTTTTTAAGTTTCCGTTTATTATATTTATACAAGTTGTTGGTTCATTTACTTAAATGACTATCTTTTTTGTTGGTGTTTTTTTGTTTCAGCATGTCGACTTGGCTATGGAATTGTTACGCGATCGGGCGCGGAGATACCCGAGATCTTATGACAGTCTTACTCGAGTTATCTTGAGCGCTGAGTTCGTTCGTGTCGTAGATATTGAGCATCAGGAGCTCCTAAGCAAGGGGAATGATTATGTTCTGTCTGAGTACATGCTGGAGTGGGTGATTGGACTACAGTTGAGGTGCGGAAAGCGGTGGACGGATTGTACACATATGTACATTCGCGAACTCACACTGTTTTTCGGTGGAGATCGTATTTGCTGATTCCACCATATATGTGTACGACTCTGATCATAGCTGTCTGACACAAAGTCAACTGGAGCAAATACTGGAGCCATTGGCTGTGATCGTGCCCATGATGGCTAGTCATGCGATGATTCGAGTAAATGATAGATTAGCCATTGTGCGGAACACGACGACGGCAAGATAAGAAAGATCGTAAGGATTTACAACTTTTAAATTTTCAGATTTAATTTTCAATTATATGTTATGGAACTAATATCTTCTACTTCGATTGCAGGGGTGACTGTGGCTTATTTGCAATCAAGTACATAGAGTTCTTGAGCATTGGTCGCAATGTTGATACAATAAATCAGTCTTGGATTGATATGTGGAGGCATAAATTAGCTTGCGACTTGTATGAATATAACTGTGATCCTTAGTACATTGTAAATTATTTTATTAAAATGTAAATGTTGTTTACTTCAGTAGGATTCGTGTTGTACTGAAAGAAATAAATAATCGAAATAGAGTATATTGTATGATATTATTTTGAAAATTTAAATGATAATCGGGAATTAAATGGACTAAATCGGATGCAATTGGAAAAAAAATGACCGATTCATGTAATATTTGGTTCGAAAAAAGCTTTAAAAATTTTGGGGACCTAATTGCAACTTTTTAATAGTTGATTCGAAACATAAAACGATAATCGAGAATTAAGATAATTAATTAAAGAAATAGTGAAACGAAAAATGAAATAAATATTATTATTTTTATTCAAATAAATAATCGAAATAAATAATATACATAATTAACGAAATATTTAACGAATAAATTAAAAAACAATATTTTTTTTTTACCTTAAACAATTAAGATAATTACTTAAAGAAATAGTAAAAGGAAAAATCGAATAAATATTATTCAAATAAACAATCGAAATAGAGTAATTAAATATGAAATAAATAATATACATAATTAACGAAATATGTAACGAATAAATTAAATTGAATAATATTTTTTTTCTTAAACAATTAAGATAATTACTTAAAGAAATAGTAAAAGGAAAAATCGAATAAATATTATTCAAATAAATAATCGAAATAGAGTAATTAAATATGAAATAAATAATATACATAATTAACGAAATATGTAACGAATAAATTAAATTGAATAATATTTTTTTTACTTAACCAATTAAAATAATTACTTAAAGAAATAGTAAAAGGAAAAATCGAATAAATATTATTCAAATAAACAATGGAAAGAGAGTAATTAAATATGAAATAAATAATATACATAATTAACGAAATATGTAACGAATAAATTAAATTGAATAATATTTTTTTTATTTAAACAATTAAAATAATTACTTAAAGAAATAGTAAAAGGAAAAATCGAATAAATATTATTGAAATAAATAATCGAAATAGAGTAATTAAATATGAAATAAATAATATACATAATTAACGAAATATGTAACGAATAAATTAAATTGAATAATATTTTTTTTACTTAACCAATTAAACGAAATTGATCTAGTGGTTCCACAAATAGAGCTTTTGCCACTTCCAGAGTTTTGAATAGTCGATCTTCCTGTGCCGGAGCTAGCACACTCGTGCAATTTTGGGATTCTTCACGTCGGTCATAAAACCACTGTTGCAACTTGCTGCGAATATGTTCAATCATTGCGAGAATCGGTAACTCTCGATCCTTCTTGAATAATGCATTCAGCGACTCTGCATTATTCTACGTCATCATGTTGTATCGACGTCCTGGAAAATGTGACCGTGCCCAATGTTCGACGCCCATTTCTGATAGATATTCCCATGCACTTTCTGATTTATGTTCTATTTCGCCCATGAACTTTGTAAACTCTTCAAAGCTGTAAGCTTCTGCAGCTCTCCTAAACAATGCAACGACGCCACTGCCCCGGTACCTAGTCTTCAGATTGCCCTGAATGTGGTACATGCAATAACCATGATGTGCTTCTGGAAAAACTTCGGCTATACCATTTATTATTGACTGCCCACGGTCAGTCACAAATGCAAGGTTTTCAATATTCCCAATTACTTCTCTCAACTTCGTGAAGAACCAACGCATTGCTAGATCATTCTCTCCATCGACAATGTCAAATGCAAGAGGGTAAATTTGGATATTAGCATCTTGACAAGTAGCAATAATCAACTTTCCTTCATATCTAGCTCTTAGGGTTGTACCATCAACTAGAATTAGAGGTCGCATAGCATTTCGAAAACCTCTAATGCTTTGTCCAAGAGCCATAAAAAAATACTTGAAGCGATTTTGCCCATCGGTTTCAATAAAAAACGTCGAGTCAGAATTAGTTCTCACCATGTTGTGGCAATACCTGGCCAATTTGGCATAACTCTCCTCTGTCGAACCCATTAAATCTTCCAATGCACATTCTTTAGCCTTCCAGGCCTTCTAGTAACTCATAACCACCCCATACTCTCGACGGATGTCGTTGATGATATCTGTAGGTCTGTAAATCGTCCGTGGATCCTGAAACTTGTGCATTATCTGTCGACCAATAAACCATGATCGAGCTTGCCTGTGATCATTTTGACGAATACCCACTTCACAAGTATGTTCCCGCGCATACTTACGAACAACAAAGAACTTATTTGTGTCCATCTTTGTCGCACTCAAGCGCCAACTGCAATTGTTGTCCACACAAATAATTGTGTATGTAGACTTATTTGATTTTTTTACCTTAAACTCAAAATTATGTTTCATTGCAATTCGGTGCGCGGCTTCTTGCAAATCTCTTTTCGTGTCAAACAATTGATCAACATGTAAATCTTCATCATCAGGAACTACACGCGAACAATTAGAAAACTGTGTACTCGGCCCAGCATGTGAGCTCCCACCAGACTCATGTCTCTGTCTGGATAAAGCAATCAAATCCTGATTTGTAAATGGCCTTTCATCCTCGTTGTCTTGAACTTCCTCGTAAATCCTTCGTGTAACGGTGACATCATGGTGAGTAGCAACTGCCTCAGGAATAACCACATCATCCTCCTGAGCAATCTCAACAGTATCCCAAAAATCATTCTCATTACGATCCTCTCCATCAAAAACTTCGTGTTCACCCTCGATGACATTTTTCTTCAACAAACTTATGCAAATAGAAGTCGTCTTTCGACCTTGGTTCAATTGAATTAGATGCTTTATTTGCGCTTCAGAAGTAACTTTCAAAGGTGGAATCGAAATTGTTAAATGCTTTTGAAATAAAAATCCCAATTCCATATCGTACTAAGAGGAATCGACGTTAAGCATGTTTTGTATTTCACTGTACATTTCTGTAAACGAAGTATTTTTTGTTGTCGAAATAGCAGCAACCCCTTCTCCTTCACTCGTCCATTTCTATTCCCATTGACCATTTTCTTTCCTTTGAAATTCGTCGAAATAACAGATTGGGACACACGCTTTTGCCATATCTGCATTACGAATTAAAAATATCAGAACAAATTATCAGAAATAAAATTATCAGAATCGAGGGGCGGGGAAGTCTGCAAACGGACGGTCGGGACGGTCCGGACCGTCTGTAACGGACGGTCCGGATGGTCCGGACCGTCGTTAAATCCGGCGTTCCGGCGTCTAATCGGTGCCGACCTGAACTTTGGCTCTAATATTATTTTTTCTACCATTTAAAAAAAATATACGACTTCAATAAAAATAAAATTAAATATTACGAAAAGATACTTACCGAATTGAAGTGCTGAAATTTAACTAAATTTTTCTGTTGAGGTTGATAACTGATAAATTTATGAAATTTTGAGGTTGAAGTGGATGAAAAATGAAAGAGTTTTTATCGTGTTAGAGTAAACTGATGAAAAGACTGACTTCATTTTCAAATTTCAATTGAGACTTGTTTGGATTTTTATTTGTAACTTAAGGATATTTTTGTCTTTTTACCATATTTCTATTTTTGTAATTATATAACTCATTTAAGGGCGTTTTTGTCTTTTACACAAGAAATGGCTATTGTGGTGAATGTTAGATTTTTATGGTTAAAATGGAAAATGGTTGATTTGACAAAGTCAAACTTAAAAGTACCCCCAAAAAAATTGTTTGTTGCACGTATTCAGTGCGAGTTCATCACGTGAACTGCACGACTTAGTTGCTGTCGTCAATCAAGACACATATAACTAATTGGTTTTAAAAAATAAATAAATATATATATTATTTAGCTCTGATTCAAACTGTAATTACTTGTTAATTTTATAGTACAAAGATTAATGCTTGCACGTGAGGTAATTTAGTAGAAATCATAATATTAGTTAAGCATCTTTCTTCTTCAACAAAAATAAAAAATAAGGCTTCTTTGGAATATAAACTGACAAATAATACTCTACTACAATATTATTGCAAATCGTCACATAAATATAGCACATGGATTGCACGTTCTAATTGATCGTATGAAATGCATTAATGCAATCCTCTAGTTTTATTTTTTAGGCAAACCACAACCATTACAGAAAATAAGGTCTTTGAATAGCAGTTTTACTTAATGAAGGATAACATCACTTACCAAGCGTTTACTTACCTAATACCTATAAGAGTTATATTTAACGTGGAATTCTGACTAGAATCCATGTTTTCTTCCACATACAATCACATGGATCTCAAAATCAAGGATACGACTTTCTTCTCCTAGCGACAATAGAGTATATTAAGAACCACGCATTTACAAAGGCTTACATGTAAATGTTTAAAAATCACACAAAACATTATTTAAATTAGATTAACTATCTATTAATGTCCTTGGCTGCACATTGACAGGAGAACCGAGCTGAATAAAATTGTGTCATTGTTCTCTTTTGCAACAGTCGCCACAAATTTTATTGATTATCCTTCATTTAGAAACTTGCAAGACTCAATAATTTAATTGAGTTCAATATTTTGAACTTGGTTGAACTGTGATTTGCTATTAGATCC